ACAAATTGAACTTATTGTTAAAATTCAAATGAGAATTTGTTTTTTCTCCTCAGAGCAAAAAAGAAAGTTTCCACTTTCATTTTAAAACAGTTTTTTTCCACCACTGCTTTTGTCCTTCGCAAAAGAATCCAAATATTCCTAAAATAATCCTTTAATTCAAGGTTTTACTGTATTTTATCACATTTTTGGTAAAGGCCTTTATACAACAATAAATAAAAGGTAAATCATGATGTTTGCTTGTGTCTGTGTTCATGCGTTTGTTAGCAAAATATTTCATGAACCACTGAACAGATTGTCCATAATTTAATCAGTTTGACAGATATTGACCTAAACTTTGGTGTAGAAGCTGAGTCATTTAAAACACATTGCTACTCATTGTGATAAATTTTTCCTTAAAGCACCATTTTTTTTTCAACCCTGTTTGTCTGTTAGCAAAATAAGTAGAACCACTAGACGGCTTTTAATAAAGGTTTTAAGAAATAATCATTTGTTGTGCCTCTATAACTGATTAACCTTTGGAGTCATTTAAATTTAAGATCACAGCTCAGGCCTGTTAGCAAACACAAAAATGGTTATAAGAGTCATTCAGAACATATAAGCTTTGGCCAAAACAAACTCCATCATGTCTCAGGATGAGAAGATTTTAGCCTAAATCTCTGTAGCCTGTGAAGCAGCAGATGAAATGTATTCCTTTAAGGATTGCAAAGTTTAATATTTATTCATGATATATCTCTAACACTTTGCCGTGTGTGTTCTTTTTGCTCTTGTATGATTTTGACCGGCGTTGATTGGTGTTTCACACCAAGGGAGGACATATATTCTCACAATTTAACTCAAAGATATTTCATCTTTTAATAAAATGTAAATTGAGGATTTTATTTTTCTTCCCAGCATTTTAAAACCTCGTTTGAACCCCAATCCGAAGCAGCGTAATCTTTCTGTTTCTTATCTGGGGTGAAACCTCATTCCTGGCTTCGTGAATGGATGGCTGCTAGGAAGACGTAAAACGTGCACGGTGGACGAGGGCACGGGGTTAGTGACTATAACCACTCCAGACTTTCAGCTCTCTCCAGCTGCTGGAGTAATGAAGTGCTGGCAGCTGGCCCCGGTGCTGAAATCAACCTCCCATCTCTTTGAACGGAGAATAAAAGAGCAGCAGAGATACCGATGCTGCGAGGCGAACTGAGAGGATCAGGTGCACGACTACAGGCACATAATAAACACACAGGTCCGTCCTGAAGAGTGCGTCCCTCAACTCTCATAAAGGTCTGAGTACAGGATCTAAATTAGGCCTTGCATTCTTAGAAGAAGTGCATGTCGCCCTCCAGGACAGGTTTTCAACCAGGATCATCTTCTGACAAGTTAAACTGTTCTGAAAATACTGAACCTTGAAAACAATATTTCCATCTCATGAGATATTATATCTTGTGCGACCCGTCAGTGTCTGGAGTATGTGCTGTGCATAACTCTCAGCTACTACCAAATTGTAGATTAGTATCTAAATGGACTGAGTTGTATCCATTTTTGTGTTTGCTGAGTTTGCCTGTTGCGGCCATCTTGAATTGGTTAGACTCTAAAGGCTCTTACATATTTGGCAAGACGTAAGACATCTGTTCTCCCTGACGCAGTTGTTCAAGAGCACACTTTATACTCATAGAGAAACTGCAGCGAGAACGCCTTCCCACTGCAGCACACGTCATGCGCAAACAGAAACAACAACGGCACGGTCCTCAAAGTGGATATTTATTTTCTGTTGATGATGTAGGTGTTGAAGGAGGAATATCTGGTTTTCTGTTGTAAACCAAGGAAAAGCCCTATAGTTTGTAAACTTGTCACAAAGAGACACATCTTTTCCAACAGACGGTGCGGGAACATATTTCTACATTGTCCTCCACGACAGCACAGCCACAAAGAGTCTCCACCATGTGTCTCCACAACGTCTCCTCTGGGCACAAAAAAAGTCTAATCTCCTACAACGAGTATAAATTTTGCTGTAAATGCAGTAAAGATGGCTGAATTTCCAACAGCCTTGGCCAGCTGCTCCTCAGCGGTGCAGTTGAAGCTAAAAAAAAAGGAAGCATTGGCCACTCTTCTGCATGAACACAGCCATGGAGTTCTGACCAATCACACAATATTGGCGGATTCCCTGAGAGAAAAAAGTTCTGCCAGCAAATTGTGAACAGAACCAGTTCTTGAGGGAAGAAGAACAAAAAGACGCAACTTTCATCACTCAATCACATCAGCAAGAAGACATTTTGGTGTTTATGGCGTATAAATCCATAATAAAAAGGTAATCAGTTTTAGATACTGTACACTGTATATACAAATGGTTACTTTCTGAGTTTCATCTTTTAAGATATTTTTCTCTACTAGACACAGTGTCAAGCTTTTAAACAAAGCTCAATGTTTTGGAGGCAATGCTTAACTTCTACCATGCCACGCATTAGCTCAATAATCATAAAATTGATTGAGTTATACTTATTTTTGTGTTTTTATTGTCAGTTGGCTGCAGCGGCCATCTCAAATTGGGTTGACACCAAAATGTGTTGTATCTTCCTCAGACTCAATTTCGTCCAGTGGTTCATAACATATTTATCTCAGACAAATACAGACAAAACTTTGTCGCCTCTTTTGGGAGATAATATTAATTATACTAAGGAGCAGAGGGTGTTTCCTGGTGTGTAACGTAACAGATCTGTTGCATGTGTGCAAAACACCTACATACGCTTTCTTTCTACTCGCCTGAGTCCTTCATCAGATTTGCCTCGTTGCTTATCTCCCACACGCAGGGACATAAAAGAGACGAGACGAAAGCTGCTCTCTGAATCTGTTCTCTGACCTGCAGAATGATTCTCGGCTGTATTTTATTGGACAGACTCCGTGGTGTGCGGATTTAAAGCATCTGCTCAAGGGAGTCAGTGATCATCTCGGCCCACGAGGACGTGCATCAACTGGACAGTGACAGATTATGAGCCGGACTTCATTCCTTCCCTCTCCCATTCCTGAGCTTCTGCTTCCTCCCCTCCTCTTCACCCCCAGAGAGAGATAAGTGATGTTTGTGTAGCAGCATATTTCATGCTTCACTCCCCCCCAACCTGTTCTCTGACCTGCACAGTCTGAAGGCAGGAGAAGCTGTCACATATCCCTGGCTGCACACATCTCTCTCCGGAGCCTGACTGAAACGAAAACAAAACTTTCGACCGAAGATTTTAAGAAGGGGATCCCAGTAGCCATTTTAAACGATATCAAATACATATAGATGATTCTCCTGAATTGTATCAAATGGTGTGGTTTGAAAGAGTTTACACTGGTTGATTTCCAGATTTGTTGATATGCAGATCTGAAATACAGATCTGCACTCAATGTAAACAAAGAATACAGTTGATTGATCTACATTAGGCTAGTTGTAGTCTGTGCAAGTGAACAAATATGTGATCTGAGATGGGAAAATGTGCCACAATGCAGATTCTTTTTATATCGAGTTATTATTTTCAAAATCTTTGTCTCAAAAGATTCAAAATTATATGTAGTTTGGTCATTTTTCGCCTGGCCTGGCAACATGGTAGTCGTGTTTACAAGAGTGCTGATTAAAGAACTTGACTTTATTGGTGTGGAATGATGTCATCAGGACATCCAGCTTTGCATTTAAAAATGGCAATCACACCAGACATTATATGGAGGGATTTCCAGGCACTCTGGCAATTGGCAGAGAAAAATGGTAAATTCTAAAGGAAAGTAAAAGGATAATATCTTCTGAAGACATACTTGTAAGACTACTTTTATTTAAAGGTAGATTAGGAAATGTATATGCTATTTTAGCTACCGGGATCACAGCATAGTGTTGTTGTGGATTCACTTTTACACAATTTTTGGTTACAGCAAAAATGTACAGATTTTTTTTTACATTTATGGCACTGCAGCCTGTGCTTAGATGATGGATGGATGGATGGATGGATCACATTCGACGTCAAACAAGTGTCTTGGAAAGGAGTTTAATTGGAGTGAATTTGTGAAAACACAAAAGAGAAGAGAAAAACAACACAGCTGGCAGGAATAATTATCGTTAGACAAGTTTACCGTTTGACAAACTTTTAGTTACTTCTGCTCTTTTCTTAGGTAAACTAACACAAATTTTGCTTACAAATTTTTAAGTTAAAGTCACATGTAACAAAAATATTGGGTAGATTAAGTTTAGTGCTGTATAAATTATTTAGTCCAGTCTTCGTGACTTTGCAACAAATTCCTTTGAGTTTTTTTACCTAATACTTTGCTTAAAATCCCTAATTTGTGGAATATGAACTACTAAAAACTATTAATTTAAAACAACTCAAACTCTGAGCGTTAATTAAGTGATAATGACAACTTGAGTTGGTGCTAGCTGGCGCTAACCTCTGTTAGCTCACCTAGCTAGAACCAACTAATGTTTTAGAAAACAAAACTCCAAGACTCGTGCAAATTAAAGTGAATAACAATATCAGCCAGGTTAATTGCTTTCTTACAACTAACTTTTATCATTATACTTTTACTTATTACATCCAAGGTCCGGTCAGGTTGGATTTGGTGAAC